ACCCACTCCAGCCGATCCTGCAGGCTGCAAAGACACCTAGCAGATTCAGCAAATGCTAGGGATGTTAAAACCTACACGCTGCATGTTCCATATAACAGATTCAACCAGGAGAGTGGGAAGAGGGAAGCAGTCCAAAGATTTGTAGCTGCAATTCAGCCTCTTCTGGCTGAAGTTACTACACCCCCAATTTTGCTGTGCATTTTTATTTCTATAGATGCCTAGTGAAAAGCACAAAAAACCCCTCAGACCCAACCTTTAGAGAAAGTTCTCTTCTTTTGCAAGAAATCAGTGCACAAATCCTCATCTCTTACCATTGTCACCACAGTTGTTACTTTGCTTTGGGCATTACTGCTCAGACATATGCTTCAGCTCAGCTGCCAAGAGGTCTTGGACTCACCCTAAGGTTTCATTTCACATCATCAAAACTTGATCTCACGCATTTGCCTAAAAAGCTTTCTTGGAGTCCAGGAAAAGTCTGCAGTTGAAGCTCCCACCTCAGCAGACCTTTTTGTAAGCAGGATGAAGTTAATGTGTAGAGGACAGAAAGTATCCTCAGGAACCAACATGAGTTGGGTTCCTGAGGGTAATTAAATCAGCAATCCCGGCAGAGACCTCAAACCACGTGCAAGGCATATGTCTCCTATCTCCTTCTCCAGTGCCCACCCAATAGTCCATGTACACATTGAAATCCTTGCCCAGCAAGACCATTTACTGCAAACACATGGCCTCAAGAAAGCAGCTGAAAGGTGAAATCGTAGGTGACGTGTTTGCTGCATTCTTTCAACCATTCCCAAAAGTTGTTCAAATCCCACAGTCAAGAAAAGAAAGACAACCTCTTTACCTTAGGGATAATGATTATACAAAGAAAATGTTATAAAAAGAGTGGGTTTTTTTCTCCATTCAACATCAGTGAGATTGAAAAACCATAGCAAACACACCCTACTTGCTGAAAGTCATGTAAGTTTTAGTTATTGGTCAAAACAGTTGATTGCCTCTGATACTAAAATTCCCTTCTTGGAACTTCTGATTGTTCACTCAGTACTTCTGCTTGCTACTGTCACAGTTCAGATCTCCATTTCTTAACAACCTTTGCTTACTTTGGAAGGTCTAAAAGTTTGAAAGATAACCCCTTCCCCAAGCAAGCAAAGAAGAAATCAATGCAGAATACCACAATCAACTTCACAAAAGCTTGAACGGAAGATTTCAGAAGCCATCAATCCCAACTATTCAGAAGCATTAATTCTACCTACTAAATCATCCTCTAAAAGCTTTAAGTGACGCATGAGTGCAAATTCTCCGCCCCGCCCCTTACTACTTTCCAGATTGCTGTAATGTATGATGGGTTTTAAGCATTTATCATCTTAAGTAATTCCTTAACCTTCCAACGTCTCTACTGTCATTGATAAACATAGCAGATAAAACAAACTATATGTTATTTCCTCCAGCACCACCATGGGTGCTGATCTTGAGCTTTGAGCATTAATCTCAGCTAGCAAGTTGTCTCATCCAATGCTCTCCCCCTTAATCAGATACATTCTTTTCATAATATGTGATGAGTCTGGGAGACATCAAGTCTATGCCTATGATAACGTGACAAAAGAAAAAGCTTAAAGGCAGAAAATACAAAAAACTTCTTCAAAGACTGATATTCAGCAAAAAACTGCTGTACAGACCAGGCTGATTTAGATAAACAGCAACCAAGGAAGGCAGCTGGTTACATTTCAGGAGTTCAGCCCAGCATTTGATTTGTAGACCAAAATGAAAATGAAGTGAGCAGAGGGGTTGAGCAGTAAGGGCTTATGCTGCTAAAGCACAGCTCCGAGTTGACAGCCAAACCTCAAGATGAATAGCAGCAGAGCAAAGTATTTGAAAGCACTGCAGACCAAGTCATGTTCACTGCAAAACAGCTTTTTAAAAAAAGGTTTTAATCTATTTTTTCTAGGTTTTAAAAAGCATTTAATCATTTTGTTCAGTCAAGAAAAATAGAACAATTGCAGAAGTTTAAAAAATTATTAAAAAAACAATTCTGTTCATGTGCCAATTCCTTTTGAACATCTATCTTTAATGTCACTGAATCTAGTTTACATTCCTGAAGGCTGAGAAGCTCTATCATGAGCTACTGCAAATTCTTCACAAGCTTTCAGAAGATGAATACACACTTGCCATTTCTACAAAGGCTTCACAGAGCTGTAATAAGGACTGTTCTCACATACTTCAAGAGCAATTTAAGATTAGCCTATGAGATCTGAAATGCAGAAGCTAAAATACAGGACTGTCCCTCAAACAAGACTGACATGTATTCCAAACAATTAATTCTAAAGACAACTTGTAGAATGCTTTTATTTATTTATTTATTTATTTGGGAAATATGCAAAAATATTCAAGACAAAGCACAAATCCACATGCAGTCACTTGGTGTGTCTCTCAACACACCAGTTGCTGTTGTTCAGATCAGCCTTAGACCAGTTACCTGAGACTTGAGTATAAAGCTCAATCTCAATGCTTACTCAAACGCAGGCAAATTTTCCATGTGGATAAAATCAAAGCATGGCAATAAGCTTTTAGTTGTGTAGCAGTCATATATCTGGCAAGGACTTTAAAAAAACAGATTTGGGGCTCGTTCTTTCAGACATACTAAATTACTGGGAAAATGAAACCCAAATTAATGAACAAGTAACAGTGGAAAAAACCTGCACTTTTACCACAGTATAAAATACAGACTACTGAAAAACATGAGTCTACACTGCACTTAGGGATCTCAGTCTTGGATTTCTGTAGAAAGGGCAAAACTAAAGGATTAAGCATTAGGTAGTTATCTTTACAAACACACAAAATCACTGAATTAACTGCGCAGGAAAGCCCAGGAGGCTAAGCAGACCTTAAGAGCATGAAGGTGCCAGTCCTGTGACCCTCTTAACAAAGCTCCACAAAGATGGCTATAAGCGCTGTCAAGCTAAAATGCCTAGTGGCAAGCAGGCAGTCAAAGTAGGTGGTGTTCAGTTGTTGGGTTTCATGCATTTGTCTGGCAAGTCTGCTAGCTTCCAGCTGGACACTGCTTCAGTTAACTGTAGTCACAATAAGTGGTGAGAATCAAAGGCAATGAACAGCCTAAAATCCAGAACATACATGGATGCCTGACATTTATTTGGAACACAAAGCGGGGTGATGGGGAGGGGGCAAAAGAACCTTAAAGAGTGAATATATGGTTCTGTATGGCTTTTCTAGTAGCTAAGTCTGATCAAGCTCAAGTCTCAAAGATGACTCAAATGGCAGAGATGTGAAAGTGACCAAAGGAGAAAGCCTGAAGAGCTATAATCAAAGTAAAAATGAAAACAAAAGTTGATGATGTCCTTAAGCAGCTCGGAGGTCCACTTCTGCTTATGAAAGGCGATCAATAGCTTAAAAGTAATTTAAAAAAACGCTAGATATTATTTATTTATACTAACTAATGGCTTAGTAAGGTTTACCTTGGTGTAAGAAATTTGTATTTAAAAATCATAGCTGGGGAAACTGACAGAACAGGACAATCTCAACCACATCAAAGACTTTTGAGGTAAAGCAATAAAAATGAAAACAAAACAAGCTACATTTGAAAGTGAGCTGGAAGCAGCATCACCTCCTGCACTCATCTCCTGCAAGGCTG